TTAAGGTGAGGAAAAACTTTCTCTCTACCTTAATGTCCGTGGCTGGGGCCTGTGAATTAGACTCACAAAAGATAGATTAACAGGAGAAAGAGCATACATACTTGTAAATGACTGAACTAGAAATCAGAAGGAGAAAAACAAAAACAAACAAAAAGTCAAGTTTATAAAAGCAAATTTAATTGATATTTTAAATTTTACTTCCACGGGGGCTACACAGAAAAGTGAAAAGTCAAAAGAAGCAGTAAGACTTGGAAGCTTATGTACAGTTTTGACAAAGGGTGATAAATTGTGAAGTAAATAGGCAAACGAAAAAGGGCTTGAGTTTCCAGAGGGGTGAGTTGCAGAAGAGTAAATATATGGGAAAATGGATGGAAAATTAGGATTAGCTTAGGTAAGGTGTTCTTTAATGTAGGCTCATCTCAGTGTCATCTTTTCCAGTATAAAGACCAAAGGAGAGGGGACACCTTTACAAAGGAAAATCTATGCCCTGCTTTGGGGCAGAAGCAGCCCAGAGTTCTTCCTGCATCTATTGCTTCTCAATTGCCTTCAACTCAAAATAATCTTTATGCCAAAGTGGCATATTTTAGGATGGCAAATTATGACCCCTTAATATTCTAAGAAGCAATCAGAGTTCAATTGCTTCTTTAAAAGTATTAGTTTCCAACTTGGGTTCTGTGGAGCTAGCTCCCTAAGGTGTCTTATTATTATTATTATTATTATTTAGTTCTATGGTCAAATCAGTTTGAGAAATGCTGAGTTAAACATGATTTCTTTTTCTAGCAGAAATTCTCAGAACTTTTAGTTAACTAGAAATACACTGTGATTCGACAAAAGGGAAACTTATTTGATCATGGAGCATGTTTTTCAGAGTATACTTCAAGACTAGTGTTTCCTGTAATATTAGATAGTGAGAAGTAGTGGGATCAGCCACGTTTGTATGTAAGTGCAAAAGTTTATGTGGCCACTGAAATAAATATAAGCCAAAAGGGAGAGAGCAGCTGAATGAAGCTGCTAACTGTTGGTCATCAGTAGCCATGCTGCCTTTGAATCATGCTCTGGGACTGAGCTCCGTTTGGTTCCTAGCAAGAAAAACTAAAGCATCGAAAACTTCTGGGTCCCACTAAATTGAACCCCTTTCTCGGGCATGAAAGAGCACCAAGGGATGAAGGAAAATGGCCTCATGTGCGCATCTCCATCCATGGCTCAGTACTGTGCCAGTTGTATTATTCTTAAACATCTATTAACATGATTGCTTCATAATTACAAAGGCTAACTGCCAAGCATTTTTCATGGGAAGCAAGGTAATGCTTGTCTTTAATTGCTCTATGGCTGAGGCACAAAGGTTAGCATTAAAATTTTTTTTAAATATTATTTTAATTGAAGAAACACCTGTAAAAATACCATTTGAGGGACTTCAAGATAAAAAAAAAAAGAAAAAGCATATTCAAGGCACAAAACTAAATAACTGCAACAATATAAGGATTTGGGGGTAGGGAGTACAGGATTCAGGACAATGGAAGTCATCAGTATATCTGATGCTATTGTACATGGCAGCCCTGCCTTCCCTCCCATCACGCTGTGCTGCCAGAAGTCTAGTTCCACGGAGACCACCCTCCATGCCATACCAGACTAACTCAGGTTTCCAATCAGGGGGCATGATTCTTGATCCTCAAAAGTCAATTCCACCCACGTCCCTTCTTCATCCTGCTCCATGCACCCTGGATGGCGCAGAGCTAAGGATCCAGTCAGAGGATTAGTTGCAAATACTACACTATCCCAAAGCTTCGGAAAAAAGGGGAGAGCAACTAATATTTACTGAGCACCTAGACGCCAGATGTTTTCATGAACATCACCTCATTAACAAACATTTTCCTTATTTTGTACAAAAAAACAAAAAACAAAAACAAAACAAAACAAAACTGGGGCTTAGACTGGTTATAAAACCAGTCCAAGGTCAACCCAAATCCTGATGAGTAAATTAGGTTAAAATTTGAGCCAGGTCTGAGTGAGTCCAAGGTCTGTTTTATAATATCATGCTGTCTCCTTATCATAAAACACTTCATTTTATATGAGAGCACAAATGGCCCACAGGATCTAGCAAAAACATTTCAACTTTTATCATCACTTCTAGAGACCCGATAATGTTTAGATCTTGTCATTCATTTGCCCAAACTAATGGAGCTATTTATTTTCAACTCTGGTAACATTCTTAACACAGCATTTTTCAGGGGGGGAAAAAAAATCTAAATTTTTGAATTGCTTCATTTCATGCTCATTCTCTTTGCATTCATCTTTTTGGCTTTTAAAAATAGAGTCCAAAATCATTGCGTATTCAGATATGAAACACAGGAAGAGCAATGGGAACACTAATGTGAAGTGGTCTCCAGGCGAAGAGTACCTGTGTCTGTAGTTACTCTAAACAGAAAACTCTCAGATTTATAAATGAACCAAATACTATCCTAGACTTATAGACTCATATTCTACCCCTCCACAGTTACTACCCTGGCTAAGACCATTTGCTTCAGCTTCATTATTTAAAACTAGAGGCCCAGTGCACAAAATTTGTGCATGGTGTGTGTGTGTGTGTGTGTGTGTGTGTGTGTGTGTGTGTGTCCCTCAGCCTGCTCCCTTTCCAATCTGTACTGTCAAGGGATATCCAACTGCTGATCGGACCTAAACAGGTAGTCAGACATCCCTCTAACAATCCAGGACTGTTGGCTCCCAAGTGCTCGCCTGCCTGCCTTCCTGATTGCCCCTGCTTCTGCCTGCCAGCCTGATCACCCCCTAACCACTCTCCTGCCAGCCTGATCAATGCCTAACTGTTCCCCTGCCAGCTCAATCATCCCCAAATGCCTTCCCCTGACAGCCCAGTCACCCCCAAATGCTCTCCCCTCCATATTCCCTCTTTATTAGATAGGGTTTTCTTCTTTAACATATTGGACAGTGTACCTGCCATGGTCTTCACAAACCAGTAAAAATGTAAACCCAAGCTAAAAGTGTCATAAAATAAACTTAAACAGGAATTTCATGAGACCTTGGAAAGGTGATATGATGTGATTGTTGATCTTCCTTTTCCCCTTCTTTCTTTTTCTTGATGTTTCATCTTTTATCCTTTCTTTTTTCATTTTATTCCTTTTCTGTCCTCTCTTTCTCTTAACTTTTCCGTTGGTAGAATTATCAGTACTCGAATCTGTCTTGCTTCCAGAAGACAAAGAAGAGGGAAACACAGTCATCTGAAGAAAAAAATGATCTATGTTGGGATCAGTGGTGTTTTTGGTTTTGCTTTTTTCCTGGTTTGTCATTTCTTCCAACCCTGGGATCTTCAGGACTTGTGCATGGGCACTTCTTATTCATGTCTATAAAACCTCCCTGCCTTGGAGGAAACTAGGGCAAAAGGCCTTCCTGGGTGGGCTCAAGCCCTGCCCAAGGTGCTGAGGAACCAGGGTGGGGAGCACCCACCACCGCCCTTGCAGAGCCAACCTCTGGCAGAGCAACCTCTGGACCTGGGGGTACTCTCCAGTAATGTAACTGCAATGTCCAGGTCTGCCTTCAGAAATTAGTTGTAAGTTACTTCCGATGTCAAACCCTACCTCAAACATTTCCATTGTGGTTTCTAAAGATTTTAAACAAAATCCATTTACCTCCCTAACCTGGTCAGAAGTTTCTACCCAACAGGAGAGGTTTGTTGGGCAGCATCGCCCAGATATCACCACCCATCTCCAATCACTTGGCTGGTATCAAGGGAACTTCCAAGACTCTAGTATGTGGGGGGATCACTCCATGAGGGTGCAGCCTGACACCCCAGACTGCCTTTGGGAGGAATAGTTCTGGGGGGGAGCGCCTGCCTCCCAGGCCTACACCCCCAACTGTAGATGGGAGCTGATCGCTGCAGGGTGGGGAGGGTGTATAGGCAGCCAGGATCACACCAGCTGAGCACAGCTATCTCCCAGGCCAACAGGCTAGGCCACTCGCTGCCTGCTCTCAGCAGCAGCCTTCCCTGGGACTGGGGGACTCCAGAGGGCCTGAAAGGACTGGGCACTGCCACCTTGTGCCTATGGGCGCCGCCATTTTTGTTGCAGAGTGATGGTTAATTTGCATATTACTCTTTTATTAGTTTGCATAAGAGTTGCTCTCTTAAGTTCCTTAAAAATTCTATAGTTAACTGCAACTCATTGGCCTTTCCAGAGATAAAACAATCTAAAATAATTCAAATCCCACCACCATAATCCTTTTTAAAATTTCTTTGACAAATGCAAAGGACACACCCACCTTCCAGTTAAATTTCTCCTTTTGAGTCCAACAGGAAATCAAGAAGCAAAGAAAAAGATATGGTGATCTAGCTAGACCGTGATTTATAGCGTTTGAAAAACAATTTGCTTAATGAGAAAGTAGCATAAAAGTTTGCTTATCTTGGTCACAGGTATTAAAATTCATATCCCTAAAGGGTAGAGAGAAAAATTCTTTTCCAGTAATGAAAATTCTATCTAATAGAGGGAATATGCAAATGGACCATCACAGTATTACCGTTAAGATGGCTGCGCCCATCCTGGAGGCTGAGTCCCTGTAATGAGCCTTAAGGAGCAATCAGCAGCGACCTGAGGCTGTGTGGCACTGGGCTGGGGCAGAGCACCTAAGGCTGTGCCCCCCCCCCCCCCCGCCCCAGCACCAGGCTGGGGGACCTCAGACCACACCCCACCACACACACACACACACACACACACACACACACACACACACACACACACGCAAGGCTTGACAGGGGATCTCAGGCCACGCCCCCTACCCTGGTGCTGGGCTGCAGGACCTGAGGCTATATCCCTTGCCCAGTGGAGCTTGACAGGGAACTCAAGGCGTGCCCGCTGCCCCAGCCCAGGATGAGGAGCCACAGGACGCACACCCTGCCCTGGGCCGGGAGACCTGAGCCTGCACCTTTCACCCAGTGGGGCTTGACGGGTGGAACCAGCCAAGTCTGGATCTAGCCCAAATCACGTGAGACCCAGACCTGGTTCTCTTGGTAGATAACCAGCCACAAAGAGATCTTAAGGTAAAATGTGCTCCAGTTCTGGGAAAGAGATGCAGACCTTGCTACTTGAGTGTGGTTTGCAATCCGTAGTATCAGTGTCTATTGAAGGCGTGTTAGAAACGCAGGCATTAGGGTCTACCCCAGACCTATTAAATTTGAATCCGCATTTCCACCAAGTCCCCAGGTGACTCATAAGCACTTTGGAGTTTGAGAAGCACTGTACCAAGATTACAGGGCTGTCCTCACATGAATGAGAGGTAGAAGGGTGATCTCGAAGGTAGAATTACCGGAGAGTGACTATAATTTCCCGACAAGGACTTATGTTTATAAGGTCCCTGTATGAGTGGCCAGAAAAAGTGAATATTTGTATATGTGGAGGGAGAAATTGCCCACTAGTTCTCTTCCACATTTAAAAAATTTTTTTTTAAATTTATTTTTTACAGAGAGGAAGTTAGAGGGATAGAGAGCCAGAAACATCAATGAGAGAGAAACATCGACCAGCTGCCTCCTGCACAACCCCACCAGTACATGCCCTTGACCGGAATCAAACCTGGGATCCTTCAGTCTGCTGGCCGATGCTCTCTCCACCTAGCCAAACCAGTTTCGGCTCTCCCACATTTTGACACCTGCTAGAGTGGCTAAAGGAGGCATTTCTCCCAAAGTATCTCCTCTACTACATGTACTTTAACCTTGACCATGTCCAAAGAACCTTTGATGAAATAAATAGGAACTGCACACTGGCCATTGAAATGCTTCTGATTCTCCATGTTGAAGAAATGATCACTTCATTAGGAAATTAAACCCAGGAAGTCAGGCCAGGGAAGGGTGCTTTTGAGTGACTAGTGTTTGCTCAGCTCTATCAGGGGGTGGCAGATGTGATTCACTCTCACAAGTGTCTCGTGCCCCAGAATTCTTGTGTAAATGTGGGCAAGGAAGGGAAATGGAAGTGGTGGCTGATGAGGGGTGTGAAATGATGAGGAAACTGCCCTAAGAAGGTAGGTTGTCTGCTATCAGGAAAGGATTGAGCCAGGTAGCCAGTTACATGTTGTCTCCAAGTATAAGAATACAAAAGCAGGTGTTTCAGGAATCTGTGTGAGGACTAGCACCCGCAAAATTACTTTTATTGTGAACATATAGTATCAGGTGAATATATAGTACCAGGCTAAGCAAGAGGGAAGGAGCTTTATGGTATTACTAGAAGCCTGGTGCCCAAATTCATGCATGGGTGGGGTCCACTTAGGGCCAATTGGGCTGGACTGACCCTGTAGGGGCTGTGGGTGGTTGGTGGGCCGGACTGCCCACAATCATGGGGGAGGGTTGATTGGGGAGGGGGGAATGGAGGAGGGGCTGCAGGCGATTGGCTGGCCCCGCCCCCTGGTCGAACTCCAATTGAACTCTCAGTTGAGGGGACAATTTGCATATTAGCTTTTTATTATATAGAACTAGTTACCTGGTGCACGAAATTTGTACACATTAAAAGGGAATTAATTAGAGGAAATATTTTAATATTGCTATTTGCCCTTTCTCTATAATAGAAGTGTCAGAGATGAAAGAAATTAGTAACATGTATATGACAATCTCCTGTCAGAGTCTGGGGTGTGCCACAGGAACCAGAGTCAAGTCCTCGCCCACCTACATGTGCCTTGAAATCTACCAAGAGAACTAAGCCAGGCAGGAAACGCAGAACCTCGGCGTGCCCTGTGAGCTCCATCCTGCACACAGGGGCTCAGCATGCTGCTTTCACTGTCCAGACTCTGGGCCACATTCCTGCTTAGCTAAATGCCAACCCTGGCTCAGCCTCCCAAGCCTCATCTGATGCCCCTCTGCCAGCAACTCAAATATCTGGAGCACCTGCTCTAGGATACATCCCTGGGCCCTCACCTGAGGTTTTCATTCAGGGAATGGCCCCAAGAAGAAACACTTTAGGCCAGTGGTCGGCAAACTCATTAGTCAACAGAGTCAAATATCAACAAGTACAACGATTGAAATTTTTTCTGAGAGCCAAATTTTTTAAACTTAAACTTCTTCTAACACCACTTCTTCAAAATAGACTTGCCCAGGCTGTAGTATTTTGTGGAAGAGCCACACTCAAGGGGCCAAAGAGCAGTGTGTGTCTCACGAGCCACAGTTTGCTGACCACGGCTCTAGGTAATTCTGATCTGTTAACAAATTTTTGGGAAAGATATACACATAACCTCTTTGATGGATTTGAGAAACTTGTATGCAATGGTTGTTAATGCCTTTACATCAAGGAAGAAAGGTTAAAAACAAAACAAGTTGAGCATCTGGTACTATGATAGAATTATTTTTTCCCCAATCTCAACATTTGCTTAGGGGCATTTATGATTATTTCCAGTGCATTCTGTCTTTTTCTTTTTTATAGAAGTTCACTAAAAATGTAAAATATATCCTATATAGCCTATAGAAAATTATTTTAATGTAGGTATGATTAAAGATACACTCAGTTAATGAGAAAAATATCAAAGGAATGACATTTGCCCTTCTGACTGAACTGAAATGGAGTTGTTCATATACATACAATTTTTAAAAAATATATCCAAGAACGAACACTGATTACCAGTAACAAAAATAAGGACTGAACATTATTACCTTTAAAATGGCAGAAGCAGATACAAAATACAAAAAGTAACTTTACTTTGACTTTACAAGTGAAATGTCCTCCCTAAGAAAGGCTGGCATTGGCTATTTGGTCTCTGGGGCAGATGTGGCATCTTGCTGGGTGCCAGCCTCCGTGGGCACAGCGTCGGAGCCTGCTGCAGCGGCAGTGACTTCGGAAACAGCGGAGGTGACTTCTGGACTGGAACCAGTGCCTGCCCGACCAAAGGTGGCCTCAGTCTGACCGGGGATGGCCTCAGGCTGAGAGGCTACCAGTTCGTGACTGACGCTGGCATCTGTTACACAGGGCATGTCAGCCTGAGGAGGCATGCCCTCTTCTTCTGTTTCCATTTCTGTTTCCTGACTTTGAACTTCCTCACCTTCTTCTACCATAGCAGGTGGTAACTGCAAAAAAGTCTAATAAAAAAATGAAGAAGAAGAAAAGGAAAATATCACCATGAATGAACTCAAGTAAATAGAATTGGCTTATAAAGTTAAGCTCTCACATTAACATTATTATCTTCCTAATAAATACTGTCCACTTTTAAGAGTTCTCCAGAATAATGCTGGCCATTTCATGTTACAGATTAAACAACTCTGATGACAATGGCCTACATTTTGCTGAATATGCCAATACGGATATCACAAATGATCAAAATACATATTACATCTCTCTAGAGAGGAAAATAATATGAAAACCTATTAGATTTTTTAGTAAAGGAAATTCCTGTCACACTTCTGAAAAAAACAGTAGCTAATTAAGACTGACCGACACACCAAGTCGAGAAGGACCAACTTTGATCAAGGAGCTCTGTGAGGGGCAGGGAGAAACCAAGCCCTGGGGCAGCGCCATGGCAGGGAGGGGGAGGGTACGAGACTCTGTCCCACCCAAACACTGGAGCAGCTCTAGAGGCTGAGCCTGGCTGCTGGAACTGGTGGGAAAGGGATTAGTGGAAAGTGAGAGGGCTTCCTCAGCGGCATGAGAGGACACTCTGGGGCTAATAAACACGTTCATTATCTTGACTGTGACGATGGTTTCGCAAGTACAGACGTCAGAATACGTGTGTCAGGATATCAAATTGTATACTTTAAATAAGTGGATTTTGTTGCATGCTAAATTATATCTACATAAAGATGTTTTGAAAGTATGGATATTACATGAATACTAACAATTTGTTTTGGTTTAGTTGGTTTTCTACAAAGAATCAAGTAAAGATTTATTCTGAGGTGAAGGGAATACAGTCTATAACATTGTGATAATCCTGCACAGTGACAGATGATTCCTAAATTAGTGGGGTGATCACACTGTAAAGTATAAAAATGCCAAATCACTATATTGTACATCTGAAACTAATATAACTAATATGATATTATAACACTTAAATTGTTTTTTAAATGATATATTCTGTAACAGATATAAATTAAGAGTTAGTGCTGAGAAAACTCACCTGATGATAGTGATGGGTGGTCTGTATCAGGTGCATGTACATGTTGTACACAAAGTTTGCCATTTGAGGCATATTCTTTATTACCTGTACTTCATGAGATGGTCTCTCCCCATTCTAGAAAAGGCAAAAAGGAAGTTAAATATAGTGAAAAACACTAAAAGCTAGCATTCCAATAGGAGCCCATCTCTCTGTTTTATGTGTAAGCACTATAGGGTTTAGGGGACATAAAGATGTAAGTGTGCGAATACAATAAAGAAGGAACCAGACTGATTCAACTAAAATGTAGAAAATGTAGAGATTAGGAGGGAGCTAAGAGTCACTAGCTTTTAATACAATTTCAGGCTGGTAAGTTCAATATGAGTTTTGGTCCACTAAAGAAAAAGAAATAGCAATCATTTGGAGAAAAAAATCACCATAGTCTAAAGCAGTGGTTCTCAACCTTTCTAATGCCTCAACCCTTTAATATAGTTCCTCATGTTGTGGTGACCCTCAACCATAAAATTATTTTCGTTGCTACTTTATAACTGTAATTTTGCTACTGTTATGAATCATAATGTAAATATCTGTGTTTTCAGATGGCCTTAGGCTCTACAGCAGGGGTTCTCAACTTGTGGGTCACGACCATAGGTTGAGAACTGCTAGCAGGGTCTTCTAATATATAAAGGTAATATATAGATGGCAAAGAAGGGAGGATCCAAGATGGCTGCACAGGTAAACACCTAACCGCAGCCGCACACAACAATTTCAATAAAATACAGCTAAAATATAAAATGGACATTGCCCAGAGCTACAGGAAAGTTGACTGACTGGAAATTCTACAACAAGAAGCAAGGAGAAAACCAGAAGGAAGAGAGGAGGAGCTGTAAAAGCCTAAGGCAGAACACAGAGACTTTTAAGGCTACCAACTCAGGAAGCTGGGAAAATGCCAAGACAAGGAAATAGATCACAAACAAAAGAAATGGAGGACAAAAAGCGACTGGATATAGAGTTCAAAACCACACTTATAAGGTTGTTCAAGAATCTCCTAGAAAAGGCCGATAAAATAAATGAGACCTATGAGGATATGAAAAGGGATCAACTAGAAATAATGAGGGATCAACTAGAAATAATAAGGGATCAACAAGAAATAAAGAATACATTGTCTGAAATGAAAAATAATATTCAGAGTCCTAAAAACAGAATGGAAGATTGCAAGAATCAAGTCAAAGATTTGGAACATAAAGAGCAAGAAGACATTCCTCGGCAGAAGCAAGAAGACAAGAGAATCCAGAAAGTTGAAGATAATGTAAGAAACCTCTGGTACAACTTCAAGTGAACCAAAATCAGAATTATGGGGGTCCCAGAAGATGAGAGAGCAAGATATTGAAAACATACTGAAAGAAATAGTGACAGAAAATTTCCCCCACCTGGTGAAAGAATTAGACCTACAAGTCTAGGAAGCACACAGAACTCCAAACAAACAAAAGGAATCCAAAGAAGACCACACCAAGACAAATCATAATTAAAATTCCAAGAGCAAAAGACAAAGAGAGAATATTAAAAGCAGCAAGAGCAAAACAGGTAGCTACCTATAAAGGAGCACCTATACTAGGGGTGTCGAACTCAATCAGAGAAGGGGCCAAAATCTAAAATCCAGCCTAAATCGCGGGCCGAATGGTTTACTGAACAGTCATAAACTGTCATTGTGATGGAAACGCAGCGGAGTGCAGTGATGACAGCGCGGTGCGGGCCACATTGCAAGGCCTGGCGGGACGGATTTGGCCCGCGGGCCTTGTGTTTGACACATGTGAGCTATACAATTGTCAGCTGATTTCTCAACAGAAACCATGCAGGCCAGACGGGAATGGCAAGAAATATTCAAGGTGATGAATAGCAAGAACCTACAACCAAAAATAATCTACCCAGCAAAGCTATCACTCAGAATCGAAGGCCAGATAAAGAGCTTCACCAATAAAAAAAAGCTAAAGGAGTTCATCACCACCAAACCAAAATTATATGAATTGCTGAAGGGGGTTCTTTCGGAAGAGAAAGTAAATAAAGATAAAAATTATGAACAACAAATAAGTAACTATCAACAAGTGAATCTAAAAACCAAAAAAAATTTTTTTTAAATCTGATGAACAATATTAACTGTTGAATATAATAGAATCAGAGGTATGGAAGGAGAATGATCTGATGATTCTTAGGGAAAAGGGGAGAGGGGGGTGTGGGAAGAGACTGAACATAAACTGTGCACCTATGGATGAGGACAATGAGGAGTGGG